ATTATTTATTATTATTTAACAATATAAACTTATAGGGTACAGTCCTACACAACAACACAGATCTCTATTCACACAACATCTTTTTAGTATTTAGGTATGAAGCTGGAGCCGACAGCACCAAGAAAAGATGAAAGCCAACACAAATAGACCTATTTGAATTGCTCACTTTCTAATGATGTCCGCCAACTATTTCCTTGCCATGTTAATTACACTTTCCACTGCTTCCCCACACTTCTACATGCCTAGTGTTAGTAACAGCAGTTACAAAGTGACTGGATGTCACCATGGATGAGTCCATTTGTCATCGCAGTAAATGGCATCTGGCTTCCAGTAAGAGAGGGGGAAGGAAGGGTGTATAAGTATAAAATGAACATAAAGAATGCATATGGGGTTCTTTCTTTTTGTCTTCTGTGAGATCTTCAGTGAGAAATTCTGAAGATTCGATTTCAGACATTCAAAGCTAAAAATTCCAGCAGAGAAACCAAAGAGATCAACCACTGTTCAAACTGTGAACATTGTTTTGTACATTTTTGGCTTTTCCATCTCAATTCTTGCCACGTTAGATGATTAATTTTGAAAGATTTTGATTTGCATCATACTTCCACTGAGTGCCCAGGGGATGTTGTTTCCTGTTAGGTGATTGCTTTGTCCTCTCCAACCTTTCGCCTCCAAAGGATCAGAATAAAATCACTATTAGCTCAGAGTAGGTTAGTAAGTAGAATTAAAATTATTTGGTTGTTATAATTTGCGTTGGTCCTGCTAAAGTGCATCAATACAATTTCTACCTGTAAACTGAAATGACTGGACCCACACAGTGGCTTTAAGCTTTATTTTTATACAACAAGCACTCTCCACTACACACACCTCTCACCAGTCTCCTGCATAACAATAAGAAGGGGAGAGAGTCATTAGTCCCATCAAAAATCGTGAAATCGTAAAGGGAGAATTTTTTCCCCTCTGTTACAGATTTTTTTTTTGAAGTGCCACTTTGTCCTCTGTTTTCTTTTTTGGGGGAAGGGGGAGGGGCATACACTGAATTGATACTATGTTTTTGGGTAATTGGCTCTATTGCAATTATTTTGTAAAACAAAACAAAACAAAAAACTGTACCTTAAAATAAAAATAAAAATGCAGAGTCCTAACTTCTATATTAAAAAAAACACACACACACACAAACATGGACCGAAAGCTCAAAATAGCCACTGGTCTCAGAAAACACATATCAGAACTGATAAGAACAAAGCAGAACAGACAATGCCAAAGGAGAGTACATAAACTGCTTCATGTTCAAGGGAACTACTGAGAGATTGAGGAATATGTTTGCATGTCAGTGGAGGGTTCAGAACAGATGAATCTAGAGGCAGGTGGGAGTTGCAGCTTTCTAAAATGACAGCAGAGTGCATGATGGGAACATAAAAAGCAGACTGACTGAAAAAAGAAAGACAGAAATCCAATCACAGGTCTGTTTGCTTTGACATTACAACATCCGAACAGAGTGTTTCACTCGCTGTCTCTGCAGAAATCACACAGTGACTTTTACTTTGTCGTCTCTCCTCTGTGTCTGATCATTTGGCAAGAAAACATTCATACAGGTTACAAATTTTGTGCCTGGTAATGAAAAAAGGCTTTACTTAATGGTGTTTTTTTCTTGTTTTTTCTTTTTTAAGTACTTTACAAAATGAGGCAAATTCCAGTTTTTGTTTCTCATTTGTGTAATGATTTCTTTCTTCATGTTTTTCCAGGTGATGGGTTTTATGACAGACATCACGTTACTGAGTCTCTTCATTATTCCAAGTGAGCCATCTAGTTTCAGTCATTTACTGTCTGACAGATCAGAGCAGAAAGAGATACTTTACAAAGTCACACATTTTATACTGAAGATGTTGACAGAACAAGAGATAAAAAGCAAACCCATGACTCTTAAAGTCAAATTGTTCATCATGAATTTTCTCTTTATCTACATTTCTATATTTTAAATATATTTTGTTTTTCAGGCACTTTACTGGTCCAGCAGCACTAAAGTTGCATGGGATTTGTAAACAAGATGCACTCAGAGCTTCCATCTCTGTTGGTGCAGTGATGAAGAGGTTTGTAGGATCAGGACAAGCAGCCAAAGTTTGACAGCACAAGACCTGTGTTTGGAGTGTGGATTAAAAATAATTATGAATTTGGCAATAATCCAAACAATGTGATCTTCAACAGCAGTGGGACAGTTTACATCTATCCAATGAACATTACAGGAGATTTGACAAAAAAAACTGCACCACTCTGTTTTCCACTTTAACCACAGATTAAACAAACACATACTACTTCAGAATCGTGAACTTGCCCTACAGATGTACAGCTGTTTGTGATCCTCTTCAAATAACAATTAAAGGTAAGAAAGTTTCCTCTCATTCTAAAAAGAATAAAGAAAAATCAGCTGCAGCTTTTGTGAGTCAGCTGCTTCCGTTATACTCATTTTCCATGAACAGAATCAACTTTTGGTGTTTTGGAAATTTATTTACCTGGATGATTGAGAATGCATCAAGACATTTAGTATAACACATTATTAGTCCCAGCAGAGGTGCTGCTCTTACTTTTCTAATCTCTTACTATTTTAAGAGTCTTTAGAAGGCGTTTCTGGATTTGCAGATTATAAACTGCCTTGTGGATAAATTGTTGAATCAATGTGCACTGCTGCACTGCTGCACTACTTCACACTTATATTTCATCTACGTTTATCTGGTCATGTGTCTTTTATGTTCTCTGGTTAGTCTGTCTTGTCTTCTGTGTTTTACTGTTATGTCCATGCCAGGGCAGAAGTAAATTTTCTGGGGTGAAGTTGCTGTTCGCCTTGATCAGCTAAGACTACAGATTATAGATGAAGTCAAGAAAAGTAAAAAGAATCCTGTTCTGATTACAAAGCTGATGCACACCACTTTGGCCTTGTGAATCAAAGAGATGATCAGTGATGACCTACCAGTGGGTCAGATCCTGGATCGCTAGCTTACTCTGAAATTGGAGTCTCAGGTAAGAATGTATATAGATGTATCTAACAAGATGTATTTTATATTGACTTCTGTTATCTGGCCTGTCTGAACAAGTTATTCCTTTGTAGTGTAAGGATTTTGATGTATTTTGCAAAGATTTGTAGATTAATTGAAACTTGTAAATGTAAATTTATCCTGTGTGTTCACATCTGTGCATAATTCCACAGGATTACACACCTTTACCTGAAGAACCATTTTATGATTTGTTGGACCAACATGCTCCCCGGCTCCAGAGCTTAATCTGAAAGAAAGCTGCTTGTTCACACATTCACAGCTAAAAATTCCAGCAGAGAAACCAGAGGGATCAACCGCTGTTCAAACTGTGAACTTGCAATTTTGTTTAGTATATTTTTTGCTTTATCCTCTCAATTCTTGCTGAGTTAGATGATTAATTTAGAAGGATTTTGTTTTGCATCATTTTTCCACTGAATGCCCAGGGAATGCTGCTTTCTTATTGGGTGATCATCATCAACTCGGGACACAGTGATATGTGCATCTTTGGATTTGGTTTGCTTTGTTCTCCAAACTTTCTCCTCCAAAGGATCAGAATAAAATCAGTATTAGCTCAGAGTAGGTTAGCAACTGTTGGGATTAAATCATTTGCAGTGCCTCGATAATGCTATGCTTTTTTATTAATAAGTGTTATATAGTTATATAGTGTAGTATTAAGTACACAGCCCATAAAAAAAGGCTTGTGAACATGTGTCCTCGTGAGTACAAAGCTGCAGACTCTCACTCATGCTTGCCTGGGAAAATGCAGATAAGAGGGGACCATCTCTAGTGGAAAGTTAATGAGACACTGTTTTTTAGACTAGAATGAGAGAGCTTCTGTAATAAAACTTTTAGGGGCACACCAACATTTTGAGATCCGTGGCAGTTTGTCATGCAGGACGCATCTCCCGTCTAGAAGTAATATGAAAGAGAAATAAAGAGTTAAATGGTCAACTGAGCAGTGTTTTGTCTTCCATCGGATGCCTCTGAGGAATTAAAAGAACTTGGTGTCGATATTTACACAACATAAGTAGAATGAAAATGATTTGATTGTTATACTTATACACTCACCTCTTGCCAGTCTCCTCTGTCACTATAAAAAGGGAAGAGAGTCACTAATCCCATCAAAATCACCTGTCCACTTTGACATCCCAGCACTGTCCCATAAGCTCAGCAGCAGCAGGCCAGAGACCACACCCCTGCCACATGGATATTATTTGGCAATCTTTTGTGAAAGTGCTGCAGATTTTTTTTAAGGCATGCCACTTTTGTCCTCTATTTTTCTTTCTTTCTTTTTTTGTGTGGAAAATACAGTGTACACCATGTAGATACTATGTTTTTGGGTAATAGCACTTTGGCAATTATTCTGTTGCTGTAAGAAAAAAACCCCCAATATATCTAAAATATTTTTAGATAAAAATGAAATTTCCTTATATAGCAAATAAAATAAAACAAACACACGGACACTAAAGTCAGTCTCAAAAAATGCAGAACAGACAAAGCCAAGGGAGGCGTACATGGAAGGGAACTACTGAGAGAATGAGGAATATGTTTGCATGTGAGTGGAGTGTCAGGCGAATCTAGAGGCAGGTGGGAGTGGCAGCATCTGAAGTGTCAACAGAGTGCATGATGGGAACAAAAAGCAGACTGACTGATTAAAGAACAACAGAAAACCAAAATTATCACAGGTCTGTTTGCTTTGACATTACAACATCTAAACAGAGAAGTGTTTCACTCGCACTGCTAAAATCACACACTGACTTTTACGTTGTCGTCTCTCCTGTGTAGCAGACTGATCATTTGGTAAGAAAACATTTATACAGTTTATTAATTTTGTGCATTGCAATGAAAAAAAAAGGCTTTATTTGATTTTTAGTTTTTGTTTTGTAAGTGCTTTACAAAATGAGGCAAGTTCCTGTTTTTGTGTCTTATTTGTGTAATGATTCTTTTCTTCATGTTTTTCCAGGTGATGGGTTTTATGACAGACATGTTACTGAGTTTCCTCTTTATTCCAAGTGAGCCATCTCATTTCAGTCATTTACAGTCTGACAGATCAGAGCAGACAGATACTTTACAAAGTCAAGTATCTGAGGATGTAAAAGAACAAGGGATAAAAAGCAAACCCACGACTCTTAAAGTCAGATTGTTCATCATGGATTTTCTCTTTATCTACATTTCTATATTTTCATGATATTCTGTTTTTCAGGCACTGTGGCTGCTTGTCCTCCAAACACACACCTGTTCATCACTGCACCAACAGAGATGGAGGCTCTGAGTGGATCTTGTTTACAAATCCCATGTAACTTTAGTGATGCTGGATCAGAAAAGTTTGACAGCACAAGACCTGTGTTTGCAGTGTGGATTAAAAATCATACTAATTTTAGACTTAATCCAGAAAACGTGATCTTCAACAGCAGTGTGACATTTAACATCTATCCAATGAATATTACAGGAAACCTGACACAGAGAAACTGCACCACTCTGTTTTCCAATTTAATCACAAATTATACAAACACATACTACTTCAGAATTATGAACTTGCCGTTCAGAGCAACAGCTGCTTGTGATCCTCTTCAAATAACAATTAAAGGTAAGAAAGTTTCCTCTAATTTCTATAAACAAAGTATAATCAGCTGCAGCTTTTATTCAAAACAACTAAAAAAGAAATTATGAACAAATGTAACAGAAATAAGCACATTTAAGTGTTTTGTGTTTAGCTGGAAACTCGGAAAATTAAGACGGCTCAGGACAATAATTAGTCTTCTGGGGTCTTTATTGTGAGCAGTAAAATTGGGAATCAGTAAAAAAAAAAAACTGTAGTAAAGACAGAAAAAACAGAAAATAAAAAATAAAAGAGAAGAAATCCTGCATACAAAGAAAAAGTCACTGTTTAAAAGCATATTTATGATTTTTTGTTATGTTTAAATTGTCACGGCAGGGTGTGCCGATGTGTAGATGAGGTAGATCCAAAAGCAGACACGGTGAAGACAGAACTAAGTTTCCAAAAATAAAGCGAGCCTTTATTGTGGCTGATGGCATTGTGAAGTAGTCAGACTCGAACGTCAAGGAAGGTGGTAGGGAAGCAGACTATGCAGACATTTTGGGTTTCCAAGGTGAGCAATTTATTTGCAGTGAACTTAATTTAATGTATAACTTAACAAAACTTCCCCAAAATCAATTCATTTAACAGAACTCAACATAACATGGCTCTGGTGACACAGCTCACCTCTCCTCCCTCCTGCTTCTGGTAGAGACTGACTTTAAATAGGGCCATCAATTTCCCTCCAATTGCCCAGCCAGTACCACTCACTCAACTGAGGGATCTAAAACTCTACACAGATTATCTAAAAACACAAAACCTCTACACACTTCTAACATGCACATTTACACAACTAAATGGCAGTATTAACAAAAGGAAAAACATTCAACAAATCCCTTTAAACATTAACACAGACAAAAGGAAGCATCTCTCTGGAAAAAGAAACCCCTCCGCTTGGTTTGACCTGATGATGTCATGTGTGACATGATCAGGGCTTTAAAACGAGGAAATGCCAGGCGGGCGTTTCCCCACACCTGACACTCATGATGACTGAAAAGACAAACAGAGTAAGTATGAACAAATGACTTAATCTGTAACATAATAAAGTATAAAGAAACATAACTTAGTATTTGTCTTAATTTGCAGAATGTTTGATTTGCAGGCAACAAAACGCTTACACAAACAAACCCGGGATAGTGAGTGAAGCAATGTTACTTGACAAATAGCAAATCATAGCAAATACATAGAAACAGAATAATGTGTACAATGTGCAAAAAAGATAAACACATATGGGACAAATGGAGAGAATTGCAACTGCTCCTCCACTTTGTCACAGGCATGAGAACAACTCTAGAGACACACTGAAACTGGGAAAACTAAGGGGACTATGAACACTGTATAAACTAAAAGACAATGACACTCTGTGAAAAGATTATGAAATACTATGAATACAGAGTAACTAGGAATGCTATGAAACACGCTGAAACAATGAGGGGAAAACTGTAAAACCTGTGGCAAAGATAACAGACGACCTGACAAAAAACATTAAGAGACAAAGGACTTAAATATACACATAATGTGATTAGGGGGAGTGGAGACACATGAGGAAACAGCTGACTAGGATGAACATAATGATGCACGGGAAATGTAAACCAAAAACACAAAGACATGGAAACTGGACTTTCACAATAAACAGGAAAACATGACAAGACGCAGGCATGACACAAACTTGACAACATTAACCAGACAGGCAAGAAACATGACCAATAACACACAATAAACAACAAGGGGAGTTTTAACACAGAGAAAGATGACACAAAGAAATTAAGAAACAAAGGACTAATGGCAACCTAGAAATTGACTGAAACTAGAACACAAATTAATACAAAATGACACATTAACAACATACATACTGGGTCACATGACCTAGTACCGTGACATAAATAGTCTGGTTTCCATGGAAATTTCACAAGTTACTGTTCAACAAACTAACGTCTTGACACAAGTCTCTCTCTCTACATCCCTTCCCCAACCTTTCCTGCACTTACAGGGGACATAAAAGGAAGAATCCTGTCTGTTAGTGATTAAAAACTAAAACGGCATTTGCATATTTGTCACTTCTGCATGTTTCAACTGAAATAATATTTTATGATAAGACAAAGACAATCTGACTGAATAAAAATTGCAGTTTTTGAATGATGATTTTATTTTTAAGGAAAAATGTTATCCAATCCCCTGTGTTAGTACTTAAATGTCTTGGCAGCAAGAACTGCAAGTGTTTTTGATAGCTGGTAATGAGTCATTCACAGTGCTATTGAAGAATTTTGGTTCCCTCTTCTTCGCTTAATAATTTTAATTCAGCTACATTTTCCAAGCATGAACAACTTGTTTAAAATCAAAGCATTACATTTAATTTTGGATTTCACGTGGTAAACGTCACCTTCAAGTTTTTTTTAATTTTAATTTTTTTGAGTCAAGGACCATAACACAACCACCACCATCTTTTACTCAGGTTATCTTTGTCTAATATTAAACTGAGTTTTAATCCGAAACCTTTAAGTGAGACAAATATGCAGGATTTCAGGAAGGAGGACAATACCTCACTTTGGTTTTTAATCCATTGTTGTGGCTGATCTTCATCTGTTTCTTGACTGTATTATTAGTTTACAAACTGTGTTTAATGTGAAACCACAGATTCTCCTTGGAGGCCCAATATTACAATCCCAGGTGATCTGAAGGAGAAGGAGTCTGTCACTATAACCTGCTCAGCTCTCACTCCCTGTCCACACTCCCCTCCTCAACTCACCTGGAATCTCCAACAAGACTCTCACAACAAAATAGAGGAAAACACAG